TGTGTTTGTGTTTCAAAACCAGAAGAATTGATAAACAGGTTTCTGCAACCCATCTCATTTTATCTCTTCAATCGCTTCAATGGCGTTATATCTGGCAGACAACGCCTAGTCACTTCACAAAGACTCTAATAACAAAATGACAGTTAAGACCAGGATTAGACGTGACACTAACTCTAAAATTTACTTACATTCTCGTTTGAAATGCTGACAGCCGGTACAGGCCTTTCTCTTGAATTTAAAGTCTTGGAAACGGCTTTAACAAAGAGGATTAAGTGTGTAATGTGTGTAATTGGCAGAAACAGATCATGATAAATCAGAAGGTCAGAGCTTCCGTCTAATGAAAAGCCCCTTTGTGTGTTCAGCCAAACTACATTAGTGGCATTAAAATTATATTAGTGGCGCTTTTTGAGAGACAGATGATGGGATCGCAGCAGAAAGTTTATTTGCAGGCAGAAAATTCTTTGATGTTTACGTGCTTTGAGCACCTTGTTCTCAAATGCCTGGGAGCTACTCTGTGTAAGACGTCCAAGCGATGGGCCATTTATTTGGAGCAGTCCTGTGTGAATTTCTCATCATAATCCATAAACTACAGATGGAGATTTCACATCATTCTTTTGGCAGAGGCTTGATGAACTTGATGAATGTTACTCATTCAGTACAACACTACACTGTGTATATAATAGTACCATAGTATTACATAGTAATTTTTTTTCACAAGGGGAGCTGGTTTTCTGTAATTCAGTTGGCAGAGACGGAATGTTGCTTACAAAAAAAAAAAAAGTACCATGATATACTACCATGGATTTTTGGACATGGTTTCATAGTAATAACTGCCTGTAAAAAAAAGTAGTGCATCCATACCATAGTACAGTACTAGTATCAGATGCTCAAACAATTGAACTGAAATTAATTTACCATGATATTTACATGGTACTCCATGGTATATCAGTAGTGCATTGTTCTATTTCTAAGGTTGATATTTTGCTGATATATGATATGATACCTTTTAAGTACTGTACTGTAAATGTGGTTTCTTGGTATGGACAATGGTAACACCATGGTATTTTTTGACACACTCAGGAATATACCATGGTTTTTAAGCATAGAAATTATTTAGTACCATAGTATATACAAATGTACCATGGTATTACCATTAGATACCATGACTGAGCCATGGTAAAATTACAGAGAAGCTGTGCATTTCTGTAATTCCTTTAGCAGAAGCTGGATGAAATTAACATAAAAGCAGGGCTGTACAGTGCGACATATATGTCGCACTGTACAGCCCT